GCCCTCAGGATAGGGAACTGGGGAGGCTCTCTCCTTGGCTCATTGGTCTCCAGAACCTGCTTGATGAACCTCTCGATCTCTCGCTCCGACATGCCATAGCGGTAGCCCGACTGGCGGAGAATGTTGATGCTCTCTGACAGTTTGTCGTAGATACACGGCTCACTTATTGTTGTTCCCATGACTGCAGCAATGATGGTGGCTTCTCTGTCAAACACATCAATCTTCAGCTGCTGCAGGCTCCAGGAACATGTTGTCACCTGTGGCAAGCCATCCAAGACGTTAACAGATCAAGACATCTCTGGATCCCTCTTAGATATCAGCAGAGATCGGAGTCATTTCACAAGTTTTTTTTTTATTTATTAATTCCAAGCATATAATAAAACAGATAAGGGAAAAGAAATCATAATCAATATATACCTCAAAACAACCAGAGAAAACCCAAAAAAGAAAAGCGGAAAAAAAATGTCTCATGATGATAAATGATCATTACATGCTTGCAAATGAGTAGAAAGAAGTAATACTTATCTAGTTCTACCCCTGATAATCCAAACTATGATTAACCCAACTCAAGTGTTAAGCTAAACAGCTACACTGGTTAAATTCCCGCGGCCCCGAATCACTGCATCCTTCTAGCCAGAGTAATCAGACCCAGAAGTTGCTGTAGGTCTTCCCCAGAGGCCCATACAGTAGTATCATCAGCAAATAATACAAAGTTCAATAATTCAGAAACATGACATATATCATTTATATACAATATGAAAAGTTTAGGGCCCAAAACTGACCCCTGTGGGACCCCACATACTATATCCAAAAAATCAGATTGATGCCCACCCAGACTTACAAATTGCCGTCTATTGGACAAATAACTTTTTATCCATTTCAGCACCAAACCTCTAATACCATACCTTTCCAATTTATCAAGTAAAATTTCAAAATTAATAGTGTCAAAGGCCTTTTGAAAATCAATAAAAATCCCCAATGTGTGTTTCTTGTTGTCCCAGGCACTGGTACACCTTCTACAAATTCAGTAATTGCAAGCGCTGTTCTATTAGATCTAAAACCAAGTTAACAAAGTAGGTAAAATGTTTTTTTTTATAAAATACTCACAGCTTGACCTCCATAACGAAAACTCTTTATTTCTAATGGGACAGATCAGTGTAATTGTATCAGTTACACAACTTTATCCATGTGTTTATATGGGCCACATGTTTATGTTGTTGTTTTGTCATAATAAAATGATGGTATGTCAGGTTCACATAAACTGTGTGTGATACTGAAGGGTTTTCATGACAAGACCTCTGAAAAGGAAGATGTGTCTGAAGCAACTGCTGATTACTTGTGCCAAGTGGTCAATCCCGTGATTTAATAACAGAACTAGAGCAGGAGCATGACATTGTGTGTTCAGAGGCCATGAACAGTGGCTCACTAACGACCACAAGGCAGTGACTAATTAGTGATTACTGTGCAGAAGTGGACATGTTAATATGAGGAAGACACTGAACTGTCCCAGGTTCACCAGGGTGCATGAAACAACCTATTCATATCATTATTTTTTAAACGCTTCCTCAGTTTTACTTGTACTTCTGCACAGCACTGTATATAAATACGATATAAACAACAGTAGTGAAAAATGTTAAGTTTTCAAAAACGTTTTGAAATCTATAAATAAAAGGACAAGAAAACAATTTTTAAATGGATGCGGTGGTTGTTAATCCCACAGTATGTTTTTAAAAATTACCAGCATTATAATTTAAATTTTATTGCTCAGTCTGTTATTAAACTGTCTTCAAAGACAAACTATAAAAACTAATCATAGCAACAACATTGAAGAATCAGACTCTGTTAGCAGGCATCTCACTGGTGAAGCTAAAGTGGCTACAAACGCTTTAAAACGGTGAATGTAAAATGCAGGCAGCGTTTGCTCCTGTCAGTGGACAGTTTAACATTAAATAACAGTAATGGATATACAAGTATTCAAAACGCACAGAGCTACGGTGTTAAACGTACTCAAAACAGTGCAGTGTCAAGTTAGCTTATCTTTGCTAGCTTTAGTTAAAATCTTACGTCTACGTACGAAACAAACTCCAAAAATAGATGAAAACCTGACCTCAAAATGAGATCCGCCGCTACAGTGGAGAGTTCATTTCAAACGTTGCATTCTAAAATAAATGTAGTCTTTCAAGAGTACATTATTTTGCTAACTACTGAAAATGGCTATCAAAAACTGACACTTCTCCTTCTCCTGTAGCAATCTTCTTCTGTGGATTTATTGGTAGTTTGAAAACAAGGTTAAAGCTGCCACCTGCTGTTCTGGAGTGGTAAGCAGAAGATAGGCAGAAAAAACCTGAAAAGAAAACAAAACTAAATTCTCTCTATCAATAAACCTACTTCTTCTAAAGTGTCCATATATATATAATATATATAAAAATTATTGTTGTTTAATTACATTTTTAGTAACGAACAGAATTTTTGACGTAAATAATTAGTACTATTTAACACTTTATTTTGAAAGACGTCCTCGGAAGTGTTCGTTGTCATTCTATTAAATTGGACGCAGATCGATTCTGCCGTGACCTGGATGTATTGAAACTCGTGGGTTAACTGAGAGTAGGCTGCATTTCGTAGACGCAAATCAAACTTCATTCGGGCTTACAGCTTATTCATTTTCTTCTCCAACAACCTCCCGGTTATGCTGGTTTGAAGCGGGTCATATTGGTGTTTTGGTTGCGGGTAGAGTTTCGTCACTATCAGAAGTCAGCTGAAACCAGCCCGCCGCTAAGATGCTTTCACCGAGCAGGACCGTCTCCTCTCGCCTGCTCAGGTCGTGCTCGTGGCTCCCTCTCCGGCTAAGCTCCGAAGGGAAAGCCATCGGCTCTCTGCAGAAAGGTAACAGCATCCCGGAGCAAATGTATACTCCTCAGAGCAGTTAGCACGAAGCTAGTTTTTAAGTGACGCACTTTATTAGGGAGACAGGAAACTTCACAAAATTTATAAACTGAGTTAAGTATTTACGTCTAACAGCAGTGGTGGAAGAAGTACTGCGATCCTTAGGTAAAAGTAGCAATACCACAGTGTAAAAATACTCTGATATAAGTAAAAGTCCTGTATTCAAAATGTTACAAAAATATTAGCATACAAACATACATAAAGTACCAAAAGTAAAAAGTACTCATTATGCAGTGGCATATTTAACATTAATGAATATCATTATTGGATTATAATTACTGATGCATTATTATGTTCATCACATCTCTGTTGTAGGACTCATTGTTCTTATTGTCTGAGAAGATATTTATGACTCTGACTTGATGTTTAGGCTTGTTGTCAGGCTGCTGGATGGATTTGGGACCGATCAGAGGCCTCCATGATGGTGTGATGCATAAGAATCTACTGTAAATCATCGAAATAAAGCCGCCTGTTGTTGCTTTGTGTTGCAGATTTGATAAAGAAACATGAGCTGGCGAAAGATGAGCTCCGTCCCCTCTATATGGACTTCCAGGCTACCACGCCCATGGTAACTGTTACTAACCATGTTATCATGGTTACAGGCTGATTTCAGAGTCAGTGGCATAGTTATTCAAATGTATTCACCAGCACTTACAGTTCAGTGCATGTGTGCAGGACCCCCGGGTGCTGGATGCCATGTTGCCCTACCTGATGAATTACTACGGTAACCCTCACTCCAGGACACACGCCTATGGTTGGGAGAGCGAGACTGCCATGGAGAATGCCAGGAAGGTACAGAGACTCTCAGTCTCCACAGACAGACAGAGAGAAAGTGTAAAAAAAAGAGTAATCTAAAGGTGGGGACATAATTTGAGTGTGACAACTGATTGGACTGAGTTGGTCCCAGTCTGGGTCAGTCATTGTTAGCAATACAGGTGCACACTAGGATCTCACTGGACATCACAGCCAACACCACCAACAGGCTTGAAACTTCCACAGAGGGCTGGAAATAATGCTTTTCAGCCTAGTGTTAATATCCAAGTAGCTCTCATCTTACCATATACATGTATTCTTTTGAATTCAGAATAATTATTTCTATATTGTGAACCTTGTACAATATGCGGTGTACTCAGTCATCATTATCAAATCTGAATTTGAGAAATAGACATTGGCTGTGTCTTGTTCCCTTCTCTCTCTCTCTGAGCAGCAAGTGGCTGATCTGGTTGCAGCTGATCCCAGAGAGATCATCTTCACCAGCGGAGCCACCGAGTCCAACAACCTAGCCCTTAAGGTCACACTCTGCTCCTCCTCTTCATCACCTCCTCCTCCTCTTGTTTTGGTTCTCCCCAGTCAGAACACAACAGGAACAGAGAGAGTGTAGTGAGAACAGAACAAAATCACAGTAAAAACTAAATCAGAATCTAGTAAGAAAAGGATTCTCATTCAAGAACAGAAGAACCAGTAAGATGGAGTGAGAACCTAAAAAAATGAAAAATGCTTAATGTGCATTAATCTAAATGGCACAGGACATGGTGTCTCTCAGCTATACCCCCCTCCATGACCCTCTGCTGCCTACAGGCCTATTGTTATTCCAGCTTCCCTACCCTGTGTTGTAAAAGTACAGTCTATATATTCGCACCACCTGCCAGGCTGAAAACAAATTAGGTAGAGTAACTTTAGGAACAGATAACACAGTGACTCATAATGAGAACCTGTAAGATGTATTATGGAGAGAACACAATATTAATATTTGATAACATAAAAGGAAAAATATTGAGAACTCAGTAGCAGCAATCAAAAGCTAAAAATACAGTAAAAACAACACAGAGTTGTAGTCTAGTTTGTAATATGTCTGTAGTGACCCTGCCCTTCCTCTCCTGCAGGGTGTTGCCAGATTCTACAAGAGCAGGAAGCGTCATATAGTCACCACGCAGACGGAACATAAATGTGTTCTGGACTCGTGTCGAGTTCTGGAGGCCGAAGGCTTCAATGTCACATACCTGCCAGTCCAGAAGAATGGACTGCTGGACCTGGAGGTGCACACATTGTGATCCCACAAGAGACAATACAGTGTGGACACATACAGCACATATAGAGAACACTTGTATAAAATGCACAGGTCACTGTATGTATTAAAAGACTGCATCTCTGTGTGTGTGTGTGCGTGCGTGCAGCTGCTGGAGGCCTCCATTTGTCCTGACACCTCTCTGGTGTCGGTGATGACTGTCAACAATGAGATTGGAGTCAAGCAACCTATTGAGGAGATCGGTAACCATGGCAGTGCATATGATATTTACTCCTGTGTTAGGCAGAAATGTGATCTCTGAAAGACCCACTTTCACATTGTCTAATCCATGTTTCAGTGTTCAGATGAAACACTGATTTGATTCTGTTTTCTGATCACAGCTATTGATATTGTTCCAATCCACAGGTACAATTTGTCGTTCAAAAGGAGTCTTCTTCCACACTGATGCTGCTCAGGCTGTTGGAAAGATTCCCATCAACGTCTCCAACTGGAAGATCGACCTAATGTCCATCAGTGGTCACAAGCTCTATGGACCCAAAGGTTAGCATTAGCATTAATAGGTATACCCTTACCTGTTGGGTCAATAAGCAAAATGAAGCATTTTTCATTTTATTTTATATGCAGCTCATTTAGTACACAGTCCAGAGGGGGTTGACTTTTGTGGTCATACTGACATGCTTGTAAGTTAGAGTGCCGATATGTGTTTGTAAAGGTGTGGGAGCTCTGTACGTGCGTCGCAGGCCCCGGGTGCGTTTAGAGCAACTACAGAGTGGGGGTGGGCAGGAGAGGGGGCTGCGCTCTGGCACTGTCCCCACCCCATTGGTTGTTGGGCTGGGAGCCGCCTGCAGCGTTGCCCAGCAAGAGATGGAGGTAAAACAAATGCGCCCAAACACTCTGAAACTCACCAAATGCACCCAGGTATCCTGTGACTTAATGTCTGTGTCTGTGTGTGTAGTATGATCATTGCAGAGTGTCCATGCTGGCTAAGCGGCTTGTCCAGAAGATCATGTCTGAGGTTCCTGATGTAATCATGAACGGAGATCCAGAACAACGCTACCCTGGTACACACACTGACAGACACACACAGAAGTGAAACTCATGCATCAAAACACTCCACTGTCATGTGCTTCAGTATCAACCAGCATGACCTTGGAATCAGTCAAAGTCCTAATGTTAGTGGCTTCTTTTGGAATGCAGTTTTATATTGGTACAAAAAAATGCAGACGTCTGTGTGAATGTGTTTTTCAGGCTGTATCAACTTGTCTTTTGCGTATGTGGAAGGAGAGAGTCTACTGATGGCGCTGAAGGACGTCGCCCTGTCATCTGGCAGGTCAGACACACTGTCGATAAAATTATTAAAAACTGGAGTGAAGCTTTACTTAGAGCAGGTGCTCCTGATGAGTCCAGCTCTCAAAGTGAGTTTTCATATACAGTATGTCATTTTAACTGTACCCTGCAGCATTTTTGATCTGATCTGTTGATTTTTGCAAGTGGGTTCCAGTTCTATTCTTATAATGCACACAGGCGTTGTGATTCACTTCCTGGTGGTGGTTTCATGTTATTCCACTGATATAAAATATAGCAATTGATGAAAGAATAGTACAAATAAGCAAAAATGGATGTAAACAATACACAGTTTAAAAATCTGTTTAGCAGATTGTTTTATGTTATTTTAGACTTAGGATAAACACATTGTTTTGGTGAGAAATGCTAAATATAAATGTGATGTTTAAATCCACAATATATCTTTAATTTAAATGGGTGTAAAATTATTGATGGGGCCTTTTTAAAAATGAATTAATGCTTTTGTGTAGTGCATGCACATCAGCGTCTCTGGAGCCATCATACGTCCTCAGAGCAATTGGAACAGATGAAGACCTGGCTCACTCTTCCATCAGGTATGAACACTCACATCCTCCCTGTAGCCTAGGTAATACTCCTCATAATGATGATAATAGTTCGGAATAAAATCTTGAAGATAATCTCAGTACCTGCAGTCCACACGTTGAAGTGTCCTTGGGCAAGACACTGAGCCCCCATGTTGCCCCCGATGGTTAAAGCCATCGGCTGAGTTGGCACCTCAAATGGCTGCCTCGGTTCTGTACCGGAAACAAATTCCTTGTTTGTGTTTGTGTGTGTAACATACTTGGCCAAATAAAGATGATTATTATAACATTTCTTCTGGATGAGAAAATAATTATTATCCTGCTTCTTGTCATGATTCTAATAAAGTTTATTTGTTGTAAAAAAAAAAAAAAATACAGTTAAAACAAGAGCATGTATGTTACTGTTAATACATTTGTTCACAGTCCTAACTATAATCCTCATTCTGGTTTAGTGTGTACACTGAAGTCACTGAAAGTATTTTGATACAACATTGATTGTTCTGACATGTATACATGTCTTAGTGACAGAATGAACAACAGCAGAAACTCAGACAGGAAGATGTTTTTATTATAAACTCTGCCGCCTTCGTGTTCTCAGATTTGACTTCAGTTGAATCACATGTAGATTAATGTAAACCTGTGTTTGTGTGTCAGGTTTGGTATTGGCAGGTTCACCACAGAAGAAGAGGTGGACTACACAGCAGAGAAATGTATCCAGCAGGTCCGCAAACTCAGAGAGATGAGGTGAGTTCAGCTGGATTTTGCCTGTTAGGTTCATCAGAATAACATTGCACTCCCCGTGTTAGTAGCTGACAGGTTATGAAACACAAGCAGTCTGATGATGAGATGGGTTGGAAACAAATCTCCAGGTTAGACAAACCTATTTCTAAGAGAAAATGAAAGCAAATAGTAAAATTATTACTTTGTCTATTGTAAATATCCATCATAGTTGACAGACTGACTTCAACAACAACAGTTATTGTACTTACTGTAGTTGTGCATGAGATTTTCCTATGAACTTATGGATATTACTGGGCAGGCGGAGGAGGCCTACTGGAGGAAGGGGAGTCTCCACTCATTGAATAATATCATTACTTATGGAATTTACCAAAAGTAGACCTGCTGAATCGTAACAAATCAGAGCACTAGTTCAGTTTATTATTAATATTCTTCACCCACAGTAGTATTACTGGCTTTTTCCTCACACGAACAGTTAGAGCTACAAATCCACTGCACAAAATTTGTTTCTTCTCTACTGTTGCTCTTGCAAGCACAGAGGACAGAAAACGCACCTTTATTTACTTGCCCAGCTCTGTTTGTGTTAACTAGCCCAGCTTCAAGGTAAAAAAAAAAAAAAAAAGCCCAGTTAATTTCATCCAACAAGCTAAATACAAGGCTATGTTTATTTTAGATGCCAGTCCTTCACTGTTTTATACTGGCAAATGACCAACAACTGTGAAAAAATAACAAAAAACCATGACAAGATTGACAAAAAGATTTTCTACCTTAACATGTGTGCACCAGGTTTTTGTTTTGCTTCTATGTAGTTCAGCACGTGCAGACTGAAGCACAGTAGAACCAGCTATGCTTGGAAAAATAAACACCATCGGCTCGATTTCAACACAATCAATGTCAAATGTATTCTGCAAACTATACAACTTGCTCATTGCAAAGCCAAAAGAAGGTCAAAGGGCCGCTCCAGGGGGCAGACAGCAGTGTAGCAACACTAGACAGATGCATATCCCACTGTATGAGCTCCCCTTTTTTTAAGATAATTTCTGCCTCTGCCTTTTTTTTAAACTGTGAAAATTTGATTTATGATTGGAGAAAAGGGGACAGTAGATGTGATTTTGGTGGCTCCCTTACAGAGCCCCTTGGGGTTGTGGCTCCTCCATAAATCCCATTATTACCAACATTTCAGATACACTCTCACTTTAAGTCTGATTTCCAAATAAAGTGCTTTGTTTCCAGTCTTTCCAATCATCTGACTGCTTATGTTTCTTGACTTGACTTTTAGTGGCGATGCTAGAAAGGATGGACAAAACTGTGAAGACTCAAGCTGTAATAAATTGGAATAAAATTAACTCACTTACTTTATACAGTTGAAGTCAGAAGTTTACATATACCTTAGCCCCATACATTTTAACTCAGTTTTGACCTACTTGACAAAATGAGAGTTTGTTCACATGACATCTGTGGAGTGGTTACATAAAAAAAAAAATCAGTTTTAATGACTTCAACTGAAGTGTATGTAAACTTCTGACTTCAGCTGTACATAGAAACATGTCTCTCTGTCTGCCAAGGTAAAGTTTAAATGTGTCAACAGTGTTACAGCTAATACCCAGTTTCTCCCTATCTGGTTGTCAGTCCTCTGTGGGAGATGGTTCAGGAAGGCATCGATCTGAAGAGCATCAAGTGGACGCAGCACTAGATTCCTCCCACTCTCTACTTTTCCATTTCTAGCCGATGACGACTACAATGATGATGGTTCCCAGGGAATTCTGATCAGTTTTTTTAAAATTTTTTTTTATTCCTGCCATGGATGTATTATTAGAGCTGGATACGATGCTGCCACTCAGCTTTTAGCCAGTTCTTCCCCACAGCTGCTTGTGGTAATGTGGTGAAAAATCTCCTTGCAGTCCAAAACCCACTTTCTCCCTTGACCACAATAATAAAAGAAATGTCTGTACAGCTGTTGACACGAGGCCTTAAACTGCAAACCAAGTCAATTATACTCTTTGTATCATGAATTTTTAATCCATGAAGGTTTTATATTTGTAAAACTCTCCCATAGCCTAGAAAACTGAATTTTATTTTTGTCATCCCAGTGTTAAAGTCTGTGGTATGAATGGGAGTGCGCAAGTGGGGTCAGCAGAGGAAACACTAATGCACATGTGCAGTGGGCTGCACAGAAGCAAACCTGGAAGCTAGAAAACTCTTTTGGCTCATGCTCCAGGTGAGCAATTTTCATTGAAGTAGCTGTGCCATCTTTGAGTCTGAGATCCAGCTCCTATATTACACATGTGGTTCTTGTACACAAACACGCACAAACTTCCTGTCAGACTTTAAGTCTGTTTGTAGCTACAGCTTGGTGGCTGTCGACGCAGGCAAGCATCAAAATGTGAAGCCATGAAGATGAACGATGACCCCAGTGACAAAGAACAAAATAGGGACTGAAGGCAGCGCTGCTTCAGCAAGGCTGAGGATGGTAACTGCAGGGAGCAGACCTAAACTTGGTCATCTAAAGAACTGATGATTCTTTGAGTCAGAACTTTTCCCTTGATGGTAACTGCTTCCTGCTATGTTCACATGTGATGGATATGCTGTCCTTTATACCCCTTAATTTAGTAGGGTATTTTTTCTCTTCTCCCATTAGTGTTCAATATTTAGTAAACAGCAGCATTGTGTCAGTCTCTCTGCAGCAGTTCCCAGTAAACACCTTTAGCGGCAGCACTTTGATTATTCTATTAATTTAACCCTGAATATCAACCCTAAAGGACCCTAATTAGGGTCCACTCGGGCTTAACGGAAAATACAGGAATGCTACACGAGTTGTGATAGCCGACCCCCAACAATGTATACATCAAAATGTTCAGCGAAACCTCGGCTACAACATCCTGGGTACAACCATTTTTCAACACGATAAACACTGCAAAAGTAATAAAGCAACATCTCGGGTCCACTAGGGGGCGCTCTGCCAGGCATACGATTCATATTTTGTCATATTTTACCGACTATAATCCATCAAAACACCGCTAGCCACGGCTCAAAACAAAGCCCACACTTCACAGATTCCATAAATGCATCGGTAAAAACACGCCGTCGATTTAAACAGCTATAGTCCAGTCTCACATACTTAGTGTCACACTTCTGTAACAAACACATCTGAGGTTGTTGATGGAAATCTCAAGCTGATATTTAGAATCTCAACACCAGAAACTGAAAATGTCAGTTGATAAATCTGCCTGCTGTCACAGTCTGATAGGATTTTGATCATAGTCTTGTGTTGCTGGATGTAGTCAACTGTGACTATTATATTTATCAAACTGCAGCATCTACTGTTTTCTGCTGTTGAAGTCATACATACATATGTATATATATATATATATATATTCCAATAAAGTGCTGCTCCATGGTCATGCAATAAATTTTTTTTATTGTTTATTTTATAGGGATGCATAAAACATTGATATGATAAAAATACTGTAAACACTAATTATTATACAGGTGCTGGTCATATAATTAGAATATCATCAAAAAGTTGATTTATTTCACTAATTCCATTCAAAAAGTGAAACTTGTATATTATATTCATTCATTACACACAGACTGATATATTTCAAATGTTTATTTCTTTTAATTGTGATTATAACTGACAACTAATGAAAACCCCAAATTCGGTATCTCAGAACATTAGAATATTGTGAAAAGGTTCAATACTGAAGACATTGGTGCCACACTCTAATCAGCTGTTTGACTCAAAACACCTGCAAATGCCTTTAAATGGTTTCTCAGTCTAGTTCTGTAGGCTACACAATCATGGGGAAGACTGCTGACCTGACAGTTGTCCAAAAGACGACCACTGACACCTTGCACAAGGAGGGCAAGACACAAAAGGTCATTGCAGAAGAGGCTGGCTGTTCACAGAGCTCTGTGTCCAAGCACATTAATAGAGAGGCGAAGGGAAGGAAAAGATGTGGTAGAAAAAAGTGTACAAGCAAAAGGGATAACCGCACCCTGGAGAGGATTGTGAAACAAAACCGATTCAAAAATGTGGGGGAGATTCACAAAGAGTGGACTGCAGCTGGAGTCAGTGCTTCCAGAACCACTACGCACAGACGTATGAAAGACATGGGTTTCAGCTGTCGCATTCCTTGTG